AAGCCATTTTTTAAACTAGCCATCTAATAATCTATTATAAAATCTTGCGAGGATTCTGACAGCCGGTCTACTTGCCAGCTCTTCATTCCGCCGTGATCTGCTTTATTTGCTTACACCTTATAGACAAAATCTTGCCAGACTACATCTATGCTACTGCAACCGGTGGATATACCTTGGGACACTCCATGGAGTGGCTGTCCTGAAGCTCTTTTGCTTCCCACGCTCTCGCTGCAGACTGTGTTGTCTTCTGTCTCTTCCCCCCTCCTGATAGCCTTGATCTCCCACATCACCTTCCTCTTCATAGATACATTCCAGCACAGCCACCACTCCACTTTGCCCAAAATCAATGCAAACCGGTCCTCCAATCTGCATAGGTACCCTGAGCGTCCTTGATGTTCTCTGGCATGGGACTTTCACAGATACCATCTGGGTTATTTTGCCTGCTCAACACCTGTAACATCCATGCCTCTCTTTTCAGAGACTGCTGACACTGTGCATGCAAGTAACCCCCAGGGCCATAAAGATCACGCGAGACCCCAGTGGTGGCCTCTGTGCTTTCAGAGATGGCCATGATGCTTCCAAGGGTGCCTGGGTGTCCCCTCTGCTTTAAACATCAGCTAGTTATGGGGATACCTGGCCTTTCGGAGGGAAATCAGTCTCCTACCTCTGCAGGGTCTATGGCAGGGTCCCCCACAGGCAATGGCTGCAGGAGACCTGGGGTGCTACGGGGACTCATGTTTGTCCCCCCATGAACACATCCAGAGAAACATCTTTGGCTCGCTATTACTCTCCATGATGGTCGATGGTTCCCACAGGATGCTGCCCTGTATGCCACAGGTGGGTCACGTGAACATTCTTTGAGTGGTGATTCCGGGCAGTCTATAGCTGGCATTGCCTAGTTGGCCAGATAGGATCCTTGCCACCTTAGGCAATGGTAGAGATGATAGGAGCCAGGTGGGCATTATGGGTCCCTCCCCTCAGCAAGGGCTCACAATATGACCCCCCACCACCAATTCCCCTGTTCCACCCCCCCAAGGGTGTCTTCCCTTTGCCCACTTCACACGCTGCCACAGAAACTGGTCTCTGGAGTCCAGTGGGGTCCAGTTTCCTTCAGGCCAGCTGGGGCAACAAGGCGAAGCTGGGTGCCAAGGTTTTACTTTACCAGGCTAGACACCAGGAGGCGGTGAGTTCTAGTCCTGCCTTAGCACAAAAGCTGGCTGGGTGACTTTGGGGCAGTCCCCCTCTCTCAGCCCCCGACGTCAGGCTTGAGTGACAAGCCGGTCAGTCAATTCCTGTTGCAACCAACGGATCAACATTCAGTTGATTTGGAAAAAAAAAACAAGCTAGGATGAAAAAATGTTAGGGTTATTGCATCTGATCACAGGGACCATATGGAGGATTGGTCATTTTGACTGAATTGCTTGGTACGGCTCTCCAGCCGTCACCTTTTCTTCCTGTTCTTCACTGAGAGCACAAAGCGTCTTTCAGAAACAAGATAAAATGATCAGTAACGAAACAGACGCCGGCCACCTGGTCATAAGGAGAATTTATTTTGAGATGACTGTGTGGCTGTTGCAATGAATTAAAACATAACGTGGTCACCAAAGGACTGGGTGGCGGGTCACTGAATAATTAATCCACCTCATCCCACCTTATTGCTGTGGACATTTACTGGGGAGTAAACTCCATTGATTTGCAGGGAGTTCACTTCCAAATAAAGGCCTCTATCTCATAAACCAAGCAGCTGTGTGGTCGCAGGTCCAAAGATGTGTCTATCCAGAGGACTCTAGTGCATTTCCGTGTTCATTTTGTCTTGAAAGATATACAGATTGTTTGTGGCTGCAATAGCAATGATGTTCTCTGTGGGATGCCAGGCCGTGTGCAAAATCTTTTTGGTGAAGTCCAGGCTGTCAGCGCTGATATCGTCTTTCCGTCTCTTGCCCCCAACGCAGACGCGGCGAGGTTTCAGAACGGCTCGTGGCTTGCTGTTCTCACGCGAGGCCTCCAGAGTAACATCGCGCTTCGTGTCTCTGTCAAACATTCGGAAGAAGTTGTTGTAGGCCCCGGTCATGATGACGCTGCAGAGGAAGGAGAACAGCAGGATCACGAGCCCGCCAGGACCAAGGGAAAGTCCCCCGCGTGGCATGGAAGGCGGCCGGCCAGGTTTTCTTCATAACAATTAGACTGGCTTGAGAAAAACGACGACGTCCTGGCAGCCCTCCGTCCGATGCAGGGAATTTTGGACTGCATGGAGGGCTGCCCACATGTTTTCCTTTTCATGCCAATCTAATTGGTATGAAAAAAAAGGTTTGCTTTTTTATAGATATTTGGTATCAATAAATCACTTTGATATGTAGATACTGAGTGGAATGAAGAATTAGAGGTTCCCATATTGCCTAGACAATGGGAGAGTGTCTTAACTTCTATAGCAAGAGTGTCAATGGACCTCAAATTACGACTTATACAACAGAAAATAATATTTAGAATTTATTGGACTCCATTATGTTTGTATAGAAAAGGATTGTCAAAAACAGCATTATGTTGAAGATGTAATAAGGATAATGCTTCTTTAAAAAAGATATGTTTCTATGGTATCCTATACTTACCAAGTTTTGGGAGAAAGTAGTGGACTATATAAATACAGTGAGTCGCCCAGAGTCACCCTCTGGGGGAGATGGGCAGCGTATAAATTTAATGACTGACTGACTGACTGGCTGACTGACTGACTGAATAAAAAATATGACTATGCGACAAAAGCTAAAATTTTCAGAGGATAATATTCTTTTGAACTATATACCTAGTGCATGGAACCTGACATCTGGACAACGTAAATGGATTCTCCGTGCCCTTACTATGGCCAAAAGGCTGATATTGCAGCACTGGAAAGATAAACGTGGTGCCCCGTTCACTCAATGGACTGAAGACCTGATTGCACTTTCCACTTACGAACAGATTGCCAAGAGATGTAGACTTTGTATGGACAAGTATAATGAAATATGGGACTCATTTATACAAAATATGGTAGGTTAAAAAAAATGATAGTCAT